CTGTAAATAAATTGAAGAAGCATTTCCTCATTGCTTGTTGGATAGATTCAAGCAGTTTTATCCTAACAATATAAATGGGTTAGAGTTTGCCTTTTTTGGTTGGATTTGGTATTGGAGTGACAGTAAGATCTATGAAGTGATTAAATCTTTCCTTATTTTATTTTCTTTAGGACTACCGTCTATTTTTTTTGAGGGATGATTTGGTAGATTAATTTCATGAAATAATGATTATTTTTAAACTAATTGAAATTTCGATTTATTTGATTAATCATTAAAAAAATTTTTAATTTAGAAGCCAAAATGTATTTTCAATATAAAAGAATAAATTCTTTACACTTTAACAAATTAATAGTTGACTTAAAAATTAATCAACTCTAATTTAGCACAAAAAATAATTATGATTATAAAAGGCGATATAGTTTTATTTTTAAAAAAGAATTGAAAACAAAAATTTATTAAAAGCACTCTTTTTTTTTTTAGTAAATTATATGCTATTAAGACATTTAATTAATTTATGTAATTTAAAGTTAACCTTAAATTTCTCTCTTTCTATTGAATATAAACTTTTAAAATCTATTAATTTAATATAAATTTTACATTCTTTTACAAAAGTTAATTTAAAAAAATAGCTCAATATTTTATGGACTATCTAGATATTTAAGCAATTCAATAGGATCAGAATTTTATTTAGATTTAAACAATTAGATTTTATTAACTATAGAGATCAAATATATTTTACAAATTATCAAAAAATTTGATTGGAACTAATATTTTAAAATATATATGATATATCATTTCCTATATATTTACTATTGAAAATAGAACATGATAAAGATGCATAAAACTAACCTAAAAGGAATATTTTTTAATTTATTTTTAAAATTTGCCATTTGACACCAACTCAAAATTTTTAGAATCACATGAATTATTTAAAAATTTTCATTTAATATTATTTTTAAATAAAGTTTATGTATTAATTATTAATAATGTAGAAAGTTTTAAAACAAAGAAACAATTATTAGATATTAGAATATTTGCCAATTAATATTTGACATTGCTTAATAATTTTAATATGTATATAACACAGATTTTCTGCCATGATTAATTTTAATTTAAATAGCAAATTAAATTAAATGAATTTCCATGATCCTATTTGTATTATATTTTACTAAATATCTATAGAGCAACATAAATGCATCATAAGCTCATCTATGGATTATTAGAAATAGGTTGAATATATCAAGTTAAAAACTTAGGTTACTGTTTGTGATGGAAAAGTTTAAAAGTGTGAAGGTTTCAAAAAGAAAGGAAAATGCCTAAAAAAAATCAATTTTCAAATTCAATGTACTGAAGAAGGAGAACTTCAATATGTTTATCAAGGTGAAATCCTTTAGAAGTATGATTTAATTTAATAATGAAGAATTAAATTTAATGATTAACTAACCAAGTCCTAAACAATAACAAATTTAGAAAAAATCTTTCATCTATTATGGGTAGGAGTATAAGAAAAGAATTAATAAAAAGTTGGATAATGGATAGCCATGTGGAAAGGTGAAAATTTGTTTGGTTGTGGAGGGTAGTACTCTTCAGATGGAAGAAAATAAGGTATATGGAAAGAAATGATCAAAGATTTTTATGAGTAAACAATTAAAATTAATCATTAGTAATTCAAAAGCGTTTGAAATTGGAGAATATGTTAATGGCTAAAGAAAAGGATATTGGAAATGTGTCTATGAAAATAAAGAAATGTATGAAGTTTTTGATTAATTAATTCAGTGGTGGTGGGGAATATAATTAATAAGGCGAAAGAAATGGTAAATGGATTGAGTTAGGTGATGGATTTTGGAGTGATTTACAAGTTATTTATATTGGGGAATATAAGAATGGGAAAAAGATTGGTAAATGGGATATTTTGGTTCGATAGAATTGTAAACAACCTTTTCAAAAGATGTAAATTTTATAAACAAACCTCAATATTAGTGGTGGTGGATTATATCATGAAAGAAGTTTTAACAAGATTGGAAAATGGATTGAATTGAGTGATGGCTTTAATTATGAATCTTAGGTCACTTATAATGGTGAATATAAAATGGGCAAGAAAGTTGGTAGATGGGATATCTTGTTCTCTAGGCATGATTGGAAATAACATTTTGAAAAGATGTAACTTTTTTTTAAAAACCTAATGTTAGTGGGGGGGGATCATATGATGAAGGTGGTCAAATTAAGATTGGTAAATGGATTGAATTAGGTGATGGGCTAAAATATGATTCTTAAATTACTCATCATAGTGAATATAAAAATGACAAGAAAGTTGGTAGATGGGATATATTTTTTAGACATGATTGGAAAAACTAATTTGAAAAAATGTATAAGTTAAAGTTAACAAATTTTAGTGGTGGAGGTTAATACGATTAAGAAAGTTCTTTAAAGACTGGAAATTGGATTGAAATAAGTGATGGATTTTCGTAATATTCATAAGTTATTTATACTGGTGAATATTAAAACGGTAAAAAAGTTAGTAAATGGGACATTTTGTTTAGGGATATATATAGTTATTCAAAATACTAAGAAATGTAAAATTAATAATTATCAATCAAATTTTTAGTGGTGGTGGAAAATATGATGAAGGAGGTTAAATGAAGATTGGGAGATGGATAGAATTGAGTGATGGTTTTAGGGATGTATCTTAAGTAACTTTTGTTGGTGAATATAAAAATGGTGAGAAGGCTGGTATATGGGATATTAAATTTGAAGGAAGATAGTTGTAAATAAATTAATTTAATTATTTTTTAAACTCTAGTGGAGGAGGATCTTTTCATGATTCGATAAAAACTGGTAAGTGGATTGAGCTAATTGATGAATTTACATGTTATTCATTTGTAACTTATCAAGGTTAATATCATAATGGTTAAAAAGTTGGTTAATGGGAGATTTACTATATGAAAAGTGATGGGAGTGTTTGCCAATAAATGTAATATTAATTTAAATAAGGACAATTTAAGTGGGGGTGGATAATATGATCAAGAAAGTTCTTTAAAGATTGGGAAATGGATTGAGTAAAGTGATGGATTTTCGGAATATTCATAAGTCCTTTATAAAGGTGAATATATAAACGGTCGTAAAATTGGTAAATGGGAAATTGATTATAGAGACAATTCAGATTAATCTTTTATAAAAATGTAAAAATTTTGAATCTAAAAAATTTTAGAGGAGGAGGTTAATATGATGAAACTAGTTCAACTAAGATCGGAAGATGGATTGAGCTGAATGATGGATTCACCTATTACTCTTAAGTTATCTACAATGGTGAATATATAAATAGTAAAAAAGTTGGTTAATGGGATGCATTTTATAGGAATATTTAGAGCAATTCAATATTTGAAAAGATGTAAAAATTTATTACAAATCATAGCGGTGGTGGATTATATGATGAAGATGGTATAAATAAGATTGGGAGATGGATTGAATTGAGCGATGGATTTAGGGATGATTAGTAAGTTAAGTATGTAGGTGATTATAAAAATGGAAAGAAAATTGGAATGTGGACAAAAATGGAAAGAAATTGGTAAATATATCTATTATTTATTTACTAAATTTTTTCAAATGATTATAATTAGTTTTATGCAGAACATTTAAAATTGTTATCTAATACTTATAAAACTGCTAATTGATTATTTCAAAATCCTTAAATAGGACATAGGAAAAGAGGAATAATATACCAAAAATACATTTTATTAATCTATTTGCAATAATTAATTGAGCTATTACCCATTATTATGTCAAATCTATTATTTAAATGCCGTGTAAATTAAATTATAACAAGCACATCTATTCAATGATTGATATAACATAATAATATCATTAATCATTCCTTATTATATGACAATAATACTTTATTCACCATAATTTGGTAGTTATCCACTTTACAAAAATATAAAAATTTTTATCTGATAATCAATATCATTGATCAAAAGAATATTTTCTCCTTTAAATTATCGATATAAATTTTGACTATTTTTTTAATATGAACTAATATCAAAGATTAAAGAAAAGTAATAAATTTCTGTTTCCATATTTCTATAAAACTTAGTATACATATATATATATTATTTTGAAATTAAATAAAATTATTATGATCGAAATAACCAATTAAATAATTATTTATTTTATATATTACATAACAATTATAGGGAAGGTTTATTACAAAATGAAATTAGAATCTGAATGCATAAAAATAAGTTCATATATTCTGAATATAATCTTTACAAATAAAATGAATAAATTTTGAAGATGAAGATATGTGAATTAAAAGAAAACCATAATAAAATTGCTTAATGACTCATGATTATCAAGAAATTAAATAAATAAAAAATAGAGAAATTTAAAATAACAAACTAAATCTAAAAATGTTATAATGTAATTAGTTTTTTTTATGCACCAACTTAAGCTAATTTAATTCTTCATTATTATAAATTATTGAAGAATTTTTCATTTTTCCTTATGAATTCATCACTTTTATAAATTCTAAGTTTTTTGAACATTATTTCATAGTGGAGTAATTAAATGATATTTCATAGTTTTTAAGAGTCAGTTATATTAGTAAAATTTTAACATTTATTAATTATTTAAGGGTTGAAATATTCCTTTTTGTTATATCATAAGAATCTAGCTTGATATTTTTTAAGATTTCTCACTTATCAACTATAAGAGTATTTCATTAAACTATGTATAAATATTTTAGGATTAATACTCTTAAATTTATACTTCTGATTGATAAATATACAATAATTTTATAATTTTAATTTAGTTATATATATAATTATAAAAACATAAAATTCCTTAAATTTTCTAATTCAGTTATATAAAACACTAGATAATGAGATTCTGAATGAAAAATCAAAAAAAAACAATTGTAATTAAGAAATTTAAATAAAATTTTTAAAACATATATAAAGGTATGAAAATTATCAAATATAAATAAGTATATAATGGACCTAACTTGATATTTTGAATGGATTTAGATGCAAAATGAATTACTAAGTCCTAAATTAAAATTTAGTGAAAATTATTAATCATTGAGAAATTTGAATAAACTTTTATAAATTTACTTCTACTTTGTTTAAGGAATGATAAAAATTCTAAAACATATAAATAAACTATATTAAATATGAAATACTCGATTTAGTTGTTTTCATCCTTTTTTTGCGCAACCCATATATATAATTATAATAATCGTAATAATGTGTAATATGGTGCGTCACAACTCAGTTTAATGTTTATCAATACATAATTATATTTATTTATATATTATAAAACAATTTAACTGATTAAAAAATCCAACTAATTTTTGATATTTAATTATGATTTAAATTTATATATTGTTCTTGATCCTCAAA